AGGGGTCACGATCCATCTCACACACACACACACACACACACACACACACACACACACACACACACACACACTCAACTGTGCCAAGAATTTTTTGGGAGCTGTTTATTTTTTTTCGTGGCTCTTACATAAGAGGTCAGTTTTGCCTGGATCTATTTATTTTTTTATTTTTTCATTTTTCCAGTTGTTTTAACATTCCAGTCGATTCTCATGAGAAAACTTTGAATATTCAGCTGGATTAAAGATGGCAGAAAAAAACAGTCTTTTCTCGGAAGAGAAACTGAAGAACTTGTTTTTCAGATTATCGAGAGAGAAGATAATTTTCTGTGTTTCAAACACCTGTCTGCAAACGATTGCTAAACACTTTAAAAATCATGTGATGTGAGTCAGATTTGAAATATTAATACTAATTAATAAAAACAATATGAATATATTAATAAAAACTCTACTTTTTTTACTTTTCCTATTTTTTGGAGAGATATGCATTTGTGTCTTTTTTCATAGTTATGTAAGAGGTAAATGTTTTTCTGCTTGAATTTTTTCCTTTGCATCATTATTATAGCGGATTCTCGTGTGAATCCCAGTGTTTTGAAAATAGCAGTATTAAAAAGCTGAACTAACAGATCATGTTTCGTTTAGATGTGGTTTGACATCTGAAACATCTGTAGCTGAACGATGCTTTAGAATCACATGATCACACCTCAGACGTCACACCTCTGAACCTGAAGCTGCATGACTTTATTAGTTTTGGTTTGTTTATTGTTTTGCATTATTAATCATTTGTTCTGTGTTCCTGCAACCCGCTTCTCCTCCACACCACACACACTCACCTGCTTCATGCTGCTCTGTTGCACGTAGCCCTGGAGGGTAAGACCTGTGTGTGTGTGTGTGTGTGTGAGTGTGAGTGTGTGGGTGTGGGCGTGAGCGTGTGCGAGTGCGAGTGCGAGTGGGTGTGTGAGTGGGTGTGGATATGAGTGTGAGTGTGTGGGTGTGGGTGTGGGCGTGAGGGTGTGCGTGTGCGAGTGGGTGTGGGCGTGAGCGTGTGCGAGTGCGAGTGCGTGTGTGTGTGTGTGTGTGTGAGTGTGAGTGTGTGGGTGTGGGTGTGGGCGTGAGTGTGTGCGTGTGCGAGTGGGTGTGGGCGTGAGTGTGGGCGTGAGCGTGTGTGGGTATGAGTGTGTGGGCGTGAGCGGGTGCGAGTGCGAGTGCGAGTCGGTGTGAGTATGGGTGTGGGCGTGAGCGAGTGGGTGTGGGTGTGAGTGAGTGGGTGTGAGTGGGTGGGAGTGAGTGAGTGGGTGTGAGTGGGTGGGAGTGAGTGAGTGGGTGTGAGTGGGTGGGAGTGAGTGAGTGGGTGTGAGTGGGTGGGAGTGAGTGAGTGGGTGTGAGTGGGTGGGAGTGAGTGAGTGGGTGTGAGTGGGTGGGAGTGAGTGAGTGGGTGTGAGTGGGTGGGAGTGAGTGAGTGGGTGTGAGTGGGTGGGAGTGAGTGAGTGGGTGTGAGTGGGTGGGAGTGAGTGAGTGGGTGTGAGTGGGTGGGAGTGAGTGAGTGGGTGTGAGTGGGTGGGAGTGAGTGAGTGGGTGTGAGTGGGTGGGAGTGAGTGAGTGGGTGTGAGTGGGTGGGAGTGAGTGAGTGGGTGTGAGTGGGTGGGAGTGAGTGAGTGGGTGTGAGTGGGTGGGAGTGAGTGAGTGGGTGTGAGTGGGTGGGAGTGAGTGAGTGGGTGTGAGTGGGTGGGAGTGAGTGAGTGGGTGTGAGTGGGTGGGAGTGAGTGAGTGGGTGTGAGTGGGTGGGAGTGAGTGAGTGGGTGTGAGTGGGTGGGAGTGAGTGAGTGGGTGTGAGTGGGTGGGAGTGAGTGAGTGGGTGTGAGTGGGTGGGAGTGAGTGAGTGGGTGTGAGTGGGTGGGAGTGAGTGAGTGGGTGTGAGTGGGTGGGAGTGAGTGAGTGGGTGTGAGTGGGTGGGAGTGAGTGAGTGGGTGTGAGTGGGTGGGAGTGAGTGAGTGGGTGTGAGTGGGTGGGAGTGAGTGAGTGGGTGTGAGTGGGTGGGAGTGAGTGAGTGGGTGTGAGTGGGTGGGAGTGAGTGAGTGGGTGTGAGTGGGTGGGAGTGAGTGAGTGGGTGTGAGTGGGTGGGAGTGAGTGAGTGGGTGTGAGTGGGTGGGAGTGAGTGAGTGGGTGTGAGTGGGTGGGAGTGAGTGAGTGGGTGTGAGTGGGTGGGAGTGAGTGAGTGGGTGTGAGTGGGTGGGAGTGAGTGAGTGGGTGTGAGTGGGTGGGAGTGAGTGAGTGGGTGTGAGTGGGTGGGAGTGAGTGAGTGGGTGTGAGTGGGTGGGAGTGAGTGAGTGGGTGTGAGTGGGTGGGAGTGAGTGAGTGGGTGTGAGTGGGTGGGAGTGAGTGAGTGGGTGTGAGTGGGTGGGAGTGAGTGAGTGGGTGTGAGTGGGTGGGAGTGAGTGAGTGGGTGTGAGTGGGTGGGAGTGAGTGAGTGGGTGTGAGTGGGTGGGAGTGAGTGAGTGAGTGGGAGTGAGTGTGGATGTGAGTGAGTGGGTATGGGTGTGAGTGAGTGAGTGAGTGAGTGAGTGAGTGGGAGTGGGTGTGAGTGAGTGAGTGAGTGGGTGTGGGTGGGTGTGAGTGAGTGTGTGTGAGTGTGAGTGGGTGGGTGTGAGGGTGTGTGTTATTCATGGTATGACACTTTAATCAGATGAAGAGAAACTCACACTCTTCATCTGATTAAAGTCAACAATGGATGTTTTTCTGTACATATGTCTCATGGGATTCATCATCAATTTTAATTGAACACAAATAGATTTGTCAATTATAATGATGACTGTCTTTAAAAAAATTCTAATTGTATTCTAAACGTTTTATTTATAAATTACTTATTTATAAAATATAATGTTAATTAAACAAGTAAAAAATTTAAAGAAATCTAGATAAAAAATACTTATTTTAGAATTATGAAATATTGTATTTGTTGACCTGCATGTGACCATTAATAAACATCAGAGAATCTATGATTATAGATTTATCAATTATAATTATGAGTCATACACTTGATAAAATCCCAGTTTTATTCCAATCGTTGTATTTATAATTCACTTATAATTATATTATTTATAATAAATTAAATCTTGAAAAAACAAATAATTTTAATAAAATCAATCAAAATTAAATATTTACTAAAAAAACATGAAATGTCATGTGACTGTTAATTGACATCAGAGAACCATAAATGATTTTAGATTGATCAATTATAATAATGTCTATCTTCATAAAATTCCAAATTTATTCTGATAATTTCATTTATAAATCACTTATATTGAATTAAATCATAAAAAATCTAATTGAAACAAATGAATGATTTAACAAATAATAGTTAAAAAAATATTTACTAAAGAAGATGAAATATTGTATTTGTTTACCTGCATTTCATCTGACCATTAAAAAAATAAGAGAACTGTGAATGATTTTAGATTTACAAAAAGGACTTCATAAAAGTTTTATCTTTATCATCTTTATTTATCTTTATTTATTTACTTTTATGTTTTATCATTTTTCTTCAAACAAATATTCAACATTCTAACGATGTTTATGAGATTTTATCTGAAGAATAATTAACTTTTATGATTTTTAAGTCTGGAAAAGTCATGAAAGTTAGTAAATAAAGAAAATTAATTAAAAGGAAATGAGTATAAAAATATTTCAGTATTGAGCTCTGCAAGGGCTAATGTAGATCAGTTTAATCATTGAAACCTAATAATTCAAATCTGATCTATGTTTAAAATCCATATCCAGTAATCCTAAGCATTAGGAAACAATCTTGGAAAAGTGGTGTAAATTCACTGGCGTGAGTGTGGGAAAGTGTTTTTGTGCCGGTGTAATGCAGTAGTGCTGCTGATCACATCATGATCCAGTCCTGTCCTCACTGTCAGATCCAGCCTCAGGAGATCAGTCCTCCTCCCACAGCAAACCTGGACCGCTCCAGTGATAAGGTGTATGAGCACGTGACGGGGCTGGTGAAGGCCGTGATCGAGATGTCCAGCCACATCCAGCCCGCGCCGCCCGAGGAGTACGTCCCCATGGTGAAGGTCAGCAGCAGGGCATGCTGGGATGCTCTCATGACGGCTGTCTCTGTGTGACGTGTGTTTGATGGGTGTCTCTGGTGTCTCCTCTCAGAATGTTGGACTGGCGCTCAGGACTTTACTAGCGACGGTGGACGAGACCATCCCAGTGTTACCGGCCAGCACTCACAGAGAGGTCAGACTCGCTCAGACTCGCCTCTAGAGTTACATCAGGGACTAATCAGTGCTTTTTTGGGAATAAATCTTTATCCGGAATAGTGTTTTTCCATTCTCCTTGGGACAAAACTAATTTTCAACAATACAACAACTCAATTAAGTTTTACATTTAGTTATTTAAAGATTAAATTATTTTTGTAGCATTAACCGTTGCATTATATGCTTTGAATTAATAATTGTATTAGTGATTTAATTATATATACAGTATATAATTTGTTGTAGCCCTACACACATATATATATTTTCGTATACTGTTTTTGCGTCAATGTTATTATCATTAGCTAAAACTAAACCTAACGCTTGAAATAAAATAAAATATAAATATTGGATGAAAAAAATGTTTAAGGGAAATTAAAATTCGAACTAAACTGAACTAAAATTCCTAACTAGAATTAAACAAATACTGAAACTGAACTAAAGCTAAAACTGCAATACCCGATAAAATATAAATAGCAATATTTAGAAAAAAAATAAATAAAAATGACAAAACATACTATGCTAAGAACAAAAAAAACCTTTTTTTTTACATTTTGTTAGAAATATTTTGGAGATGATCACTGGATGCCCCAACATACTATAGGCATACTATAGTTTGAAATGTGTATAATTTCATCTCCGTACTAATTCACATTAATAATAATAATAATAAATACAATTTTATAATAAAGGTAATTATTTAATTATATTTCTTCCAGTTCCAGTATATCATATTGTCAAAGGTGGAAAGTAACGAATTACATTTACTCGCGTTACTGTAATTGAGTAGCTTTTTTGTGTACTTCTACTTTAAGTAATTTTTAAAATCTGTAATTTTACTTTTACTTAAGTATATTTTGTTTGAAGTATTGTACTTCGCTACATTTTAAAACACATTAATTACTAAAAAAAAAGAAATTTTTTAATAACTTTAAAAACATTTTTCTGTTCAACTTTAATACAAATTTTTTTAAATTAGTACAAAAAAAAAAAATAAATCGCTCCCTGGAAACTACTGCAGTAAATAACGGGCAGGAGAGCAAACTGGCGCTAAAAAGATGCAGACGGACAAGACAGGCGTTAGTGGTGCAGAGCAGACCCAGCTGAAAACGAAACCCCGTCGTATTCTGCAGAATTTGAACTTGAAGGAAATGAAGTGAACCCCTGGCCATATTTAAGCTCTATTATGCAGTGTAAGCTGTGTTTGCCTATAGGGAGACCAAACTAGCAGCTTATAAAATCTGGACATCAACCCTTCGCAAGCATGTATACTGTAGGTAAGGTAAATACTTGCATTGTTGCATTGGTGGTTAAAATTAAGCTTTGACAGTTTAGCAAGCCAAAAAGACAGTGGTGCAGGGTGTGCGATATATACCGTCTGCGATAATATCGTAATTGTTGTTTTAACGATGTGCGATTTGGCATTAGCAGTATTTTGCCAAAAATCAAACAAAACACTCCTACAGAGTGCCGTGAAGTTTAGTAGATTAGACTAGTGTGCGCGCATTTAGAGTGTGTTCTTTCACTGCGTGATTCAGTCTGTTAAAATGCATTTAGAATGATCACAAAATTCAAGATATAGGGGCAGAAAATGTAAATATCATTTCATATCGAGGTAAATCGCAATGACTCACTTATTAACAGTGACTTGCTGACACCTACTGGTGGTTTTAATTTCATATTTAAAGTATCTTTTGATTTTTTTCCTTATAATTTCAGATAAGTATTTAACATTTTATGTCTTATATATCAAAACATTATTTCTGCATTAGTAACTGCAGGTTAAATGCATTCATGTCCTGCATTAAACAGTGTGTAAATACATCTAAATGCCACTTCCGTTGAAGCTTGTTTCCTCTGCATTGAAAAGATGAATTTTGATGATTCTGATTTAATTTGCCTGATAACAGTCCAAATGTCTTATTATTCTAAATAACTGATTCCTTTAATTAAAAACAACTGGTTTGAGATTTATAGGCCTATCCCATTTTTGCCTCCCTCCCACTGTTAAAATGTAACTAAGTCATTTTAAATAAATTTTAAATGAGCTCATTTTTATTTTTACTTGAGTAGATTTTTAGACTGGTACTTTTACTTGTACTTAAGTAAAATGTAATTAAAGTAATGGTACTTTTACTTGAGTACAATGTTTGCGTACTCTTTCCACCTCTGCATATTGTAAATTCGGGATGCATGATTTGGGGAAAATTTATAGTTTGGGGAATACTTATTAAAAATATAGAGAGAAAAAAAAACTCCAGTTTTGTAGGGCTAGACCATATGGCCCAAAATCTTGTGATGTACATGTTAATATGACTAAATAATAATAATAAATAACAATAGTTTATTATTTAGTATTATTCAATATTACTATTATAAAATTTTATTATTACTACTTTTACTATTATTATTAGTATTATTGCTAAATAAAATACTAAACAAAATAATATTATGTTGTGTATTCATTAAAAATAATATTGTAATATTCCAGTGTAAAAAAAAAATAAAAAATCAAGTTAAAATAATATGTGACCCTGGAGCACAAAACCAGTCATAAGGATTTTTGGCTATTGCTACAAATATACCCCAGCGACTTAAGACTGCTTTTGTGCTCCAGGGTCACATATAATAATTTTATTTTACAGTACAACTGTAAAGCAGCAAAACAAATATTTGCCTTAATTTCGTCTTCTTCAAATGTTTAAACCATCAAGCTTTTATTTTTGCCATAAAAATGCATGGAGCCCTTAATGCTTTCTTTTTTTTTGGCTGCACTTGTATTTGATGAATCATGCAGCCTCATGTGTGCTGTGTTTGTGTCAGATCGAGATGGCTCAGAAGCTGCTGAACTCAGACCTGGCGGAGCTCATCAGTAAGATGCGTCTGGCGCAGCAGTACGTCTTGACCAGCCTGCAGCAGGACTACAAGAAGCAGATGCTGACCGCGGCTCACGCGCTCGCCGTCGACGCCAAGAACCTGCTGGACATCATCGACCAGGCACGGATGAAGATGCACTGACTCCTCCTGATGCTGGATCATCAGCCGGACCTTCAACACAGCACACCTTACACAAATACACCTTCATTACAGAGATTGGTGCATTTGGTGGAGCGGAGAGGATATTGCAGACGTATCGTTTTATAACCGCTAGCGGCATCATGCTTTATTTTGTATCCAGAAATGAACTTTCTCAGCGCTGGAGAACCCAATGCAGCTGGAACCCAATGAACTCCAATAATGGTTTTCCAATGATCCAAAGGCTTCTCAACATCACAAATGATTTTATATTTTAGTTGATCTCAGACTTCGGTGATCAAGGTGCTTTAACAACCTCCTCTTGAGAAACTCAGGGGTCCGACGCGCCTCTCATGAACAGACTCCAAGCCAAACCACAGTCATATTTAACAGATCTTTTAAAGGAATCGCAGCTATTGTATGAAACAGAGGGAAATTCCAATGCCAATATAGTCACATATCAGTCACTTGAAGCACATATTGATCAATTGTTATAATCGAAGCTGCCTTCTGAATTCATTTTAAGAGACTTAATTCTGTAAAATCATGTTATGTTGTTTTTTTTTTACCACACTAGGGTTGAAGTGGCCCGTTTGAGTTCGGACTAGAATTAATTTTGTGTACAGAACAATCGTGAAATCCATTTTGTCATTGATATAAATTATTCTCAGGAAGAAGCAACTGTACAGATCTTTTAACTAATAAAAGGTTATCATTATCTTTATCTGAATGTGTCTTGGTTTTATTTCTGCTGGATAGCTAGCTATTAGTCCTTTTGATTAATTGAACTTTTTTGGTGAGTAATAAAAGGTAATGGTTGGGTTAAGGAGTTTAAATTATTCAATTTATCAGTTATTTAGTGTTTATTTTAGTTGATCATTGTTGCTTTAAAATGCAGCGAAGAAAAAAAAATTCTAGTCATGCTCTGAAATGAAACGTCGACTAAAATCATTGTCAAACTGAACACACTTTGGATAAAAAGCATTTGCTAATTTATGAGTTTTCAATTTTTTTGATGCCAAGAAAATGATTGTAATATTTATTTTTAGATTTCATAAATTATATTTGTATATCTCATATATTACACATTTGTATCAAAATTAATCACTTTGCATTGTGCAAGAAAAATGCAAAACATTATATTAAAGTCACGTTGGACAAAATAATCATAATTAGAAAATGTTTTGACTTTTTATTTTTTTTACATTTCTGAAAAATCTCTACATGAATAAATGTGAATGCACTGACCTGTAAAGTAAAAATGACTACTTCAGTATTAACTAATAAATATGTCAGTGATATTTAACGAGTTCTTTTAGGTGGAATTATTCCTATAACATATAAGCCCAACTTTAAAAATATACAAAACACTGCACATACCCATGGATGTGAAGACTTTTAAAACTTCTGGCTAATATAGGCTCCCTCTTTTTTTACACTTTATAAACTACTTCATACACAAAGGATTAACGTATTTTCCATTTTTAAAGGAAAAGTGGAAGATTCTTTAGAGCGCAAGGTTTTATGTATAGCATGAGCTGGTGCACAGCAAAAACGTCAACATTTAACAAGGTCTTAAAGCATTAATATTAACAATGAGCAATTTATATTTGTTACAGTATTTATGAACAGCTGCATTTTTATTAACATTGTTAGTTCTCAGAGCTATTAACATTCAACGTTTGAGTAGTGCATTATTAAATACCAAAGTTAACATTAAGATTAATAAATGCTTGCAAACTTTTTTTTTATTAGTTTATCTAATCTAATAATCAAATGCTAACAAATTAATCCTTTTTGTAAAGCGTCACACAAAACATGCTTGAACTTGCATTAAAAAAAAAACCCAATGAGACATTAGCATCTCGTTATGGTTTTAAAAACTCAGGAACAACGTGAAAACAACCGTAAAATTCTTTAGGACAAGTGAATAGTTTGGTTAACCCCAACCCGGCAACGACACAAACAGTATTGAGAGTTTCAATGTTTTTTATTAAAAGCTGTTTTAGTCAAACAGACCGAAGCCCATGTCGTCATCAGACTCCTCAGACTCTTCTTTCTTTTCCTCTTTCTTCTCCTCCTCTTTGGCTGTAATGCAAACAGAAAACGAGTTCAGAAAGTGAATCTCAGTGCATATGAAGCATCTGAAGGAGCACGAGAGGTTACCTGGTGCGTCTCCACCTGCAGGAGCAGCAGCAACACCTGCAGCAGCGGCCGGAGCCGCTCCACCACCGGCTCCAACGTTACAGATCAGACTGCCGATGTCCACGCTGGCCAGAGCCTGAGCACAGGAAGTGACATCAGACCTCACCCCCAACACACTTCAATGAATGTTCAAGGTTCCCAAAAAAAGTGCAAGTGTTTCCATCATGGACTGGGAAATAAACGCACCTTAGCGAAGAGACCGGGCCAGAAGGGCTCGATGGACACACTGGCGGCCTTGATCAGAGCGATCAGCTTGTCCTCCTGCAAAAACAATCAAAAGAGAACAAAAACATCAGTTCATGACCCTATCTGGATGCTTTCCTAACAAAATGAGTAATATTGTGGCAGTACAAAGGTAAAGTAGAGATATCAGATGCCAATCATGGTGCTGTCAAACAAAAAACACAGCAGTAGCAGAGTACAACATGATACTCATAATACCATAGTAGCACATGTAGACACCATGATATATATGTATTGTAATGGTCAACAGATAGTCCATCATGCAACGTAATTCAGTACTGTGACATTACAACGGTACAGAAATGTTACAAGGTGATAATACTGTATAGTGTATGATGCATATCAGTCTCAGCATTTAAAGGTAAAACACTTAGGCTGCCTTGAAGACAGTAAAATTAGCTAATAAGCTAACAAATAGCAACACAGAAAACGCGCGCTTCTCTGTACTCGTTTCCCACAACTAGTTGTTTTCACGTGTAAACACATCAGATTAAGCTTCTAACACCACACTGGGCCTGTAAATAATAAACTAAGTTATATGGAAAGGTAAAAAGCGCAAAATCACAGAGGTGTCGTATATGAAGAGACTTAGTGCCGGTGTCCCGGATGTTCACGCCGCGGCTCAAACCGACCGCACTCACCGTGACTGTAACTTCATCGTCGTGGAGGATGAGAGCGGAGTAAATACAGGCCAGCTCGGACACAGATGCCATTGTACTTTTAGCAGGTTAATGTTTTAGACGTGGATGCCTAAATTTGACGGTGCTAGTCGCCGGATTCAAAGACCTTAGCTTCGTGAGAAGAACCGAGCACCTCAAACACAGCGCTGCCAGTGAACGGAAAAGGCCTTGGGGGGGCGGAGCGATGGCTTATATAGCCTTGTGCGTCACTTCAGTGGGCGGGATCTGCGTAGAAACCGGAAGCTGTGATTGGCTCGTCTCTTCTGTCAGTTATTTTGTATATCCGCGTGTTTATGAGAGCGCTGAATCTATAATTAGATATAAAATTAATATATAACTGGAAAATGCGCAAAAAGCAAAACATAAAATCAAACTGTCATAAAATATGAATTCAAAAATAATTCGTCTCTTAAACTAAAAAAAAAAAAAGCGATTTCATCAGATAATCTATAAAATTACCATATTCTATTAAAAAAAAACATGGTAATAGCACAGTACTTTATATTTATGAATAAACTTATTTTTATAAACCACTGGTGGTTTCGTAGGCAATAATAGTTCAATAGTTAATATAGTCAAAAATGACCAATTGAAAAGCATAAAAGCTACATAAAGAAATGAAGAAGGCGATAGAAGGCATACACTGTTTAATTAAGTCTCTGTAATTAAGCAGTTGAATCACAGAAACACTTAATGGAATGAAACACAAAAACAAACATGCATCATTCTCTCTGAACACACAACCAACAGTCATGTTACTAAAATTAATCCATATTCAAAAATAATCACGTAATTAATCTGAAACTCTGGTCTTTTGGCACGCTTGTGATATGGTCTTGATTTCAAAACACTATCTGAGACTGAATTAAAGGTCCCATCGAAATACATTCTGTAAAATTAAACCAAGCTTTTTATAGTTTTGCTTCTTGTCCTATAATTGAAGGAGATATAGCAACTGTTTGCGCTGCAGTCGAGTCAACAGCGAGAAGCCTGTTCAGTTCTCTGATTAGCAGACACAACTGAGCTCAGATAGACACATGCTGTATGGTCCTTTCTTATTGAATCCTATGACTGATCTTAAGATAATGCTGAGCTGTTCTGTTGTCAGGATGTCAGTCTTTATGGGATTTTCCTTTGGGCTTTTCATCGTAAGACACGCCGTACTCGTTCACTCTGGTTTTATCCACTGGATAGAGCCTGAAACCACATCAGCATCTCATGTAACATCTATATGGATTTAAACATCAGCTCTGGATCAGTGTTTGACTAGTTTCTCACCATCTCTGATAGAGGTACACGAGGAACACCACGTCATCTCTGAAACACGCCAACCGATGTGACGTGGGCATCGTGATGATGAATGCAAAGATGTCATCGATAAACGTATTAAAAGCCTGTTGAGAAACATAAGTGTCAAAATTATGAGGAACACTATAGGCCTCCATTACTGGAACACAACCTAAAGATATGCAATGATCTAGAATTTGTTTGTCAGTATTAGCAGTCAATAATTCATTTATTAAATCAGACGACTAATATGAGAAATAATTTTATTAAACTGATAGATTTTGTTATTTTATTAAATAAATATTCATGCACAATAGGAAAAATGGAGAACTGCTACATTACAAAATAGCATGCATCTGATACCCTTTGCAAAGGAAAAAAAAAACTAATTAAAAGAATAAAATAAAAAATAATAAAAATAAAGAATGTAAAATATAATTTATTAAGCCTGACAACTAATATGATATATTAATTTGATTAATTTGTTAGATTTTATGTTGTTTTATTTACAAAATAATAAAAATGTATTTAAAATAATGCATAATGCACAACAGAAAAGGAAATTTGTTATATAGGGGAAAAAAACGATATCTGATACTTGTTGCATAGAAAAAGAGTTTGTTTAGATAAAAATAATTAAAAGAATAAGAGACAAATATGATATATAAACAAATATATAATTTATTGAGTCTGACAACTAATGTGATATATTACTTTATTAATTTGTTGGGTTTTATGTTGGTTTATTTAAAATAATAATAATAAAAATGTATTTAAAATAATGCATAAAATAATATGCATTATAAAAAATGTATATGCATAATAAAAAATTATATAAAAAATGTAAATATAAGTTACAAAAAAGCTAAAAGAATTAAAGAAAAAAAACAATAAAATAAACTGTATATAAAATTGAATATTTTAAAATATTGAATGTGTATATATATATATATACACACACACTACTTATAAAAATAAATATTAATAAATTTTAACATTTATCATATACATCATATATCATATACGGTATATTTATTTTTTCAATTCAGAGCCATGTCGCTACTTTAAAAGCAGTATTATCTACCAAAACAAATAATGTTTCTTCACATATCATGCATTAATAACGCAAACAGCATCAGAGAGCTTTATGACTGTGCCTTCGTCTCTCACCTTGTACATGAAGGCTTTCCAGGGCAGATGAGCGACTGATTTCAGCTGTTAACACAAATGCATTGATCATTAAATCAAACATTATTTCATTATTCTGAATGGAAGAAGTGTTTTCGACTGAACAAACCTTGTAATTTAC